CTTTGAAAACATATAAAAGTTTTGAATATAGGAGACTGTTTGGTGGGAAAATAAAAACTTTGAATATACAATATAAGATATCAAAAACACAGATGACAGAAGCTGGGCAGTAGAAATGAGGGCAAGAGAAGAAAGGAAAGGTAAGGACACTGCTCACCTCCTAAAATGGAAAGTCAAGGGATACTGTCCAAAGTTGAGGAAATCAAAAATAAAGGTCCAGTCAAGTATCTAAAGTTATAAGGGAATTGGGTGGGGTACAGTGGCTCACATCTGTAATCCCAGCATTTTTGGAGGCTGAGGTAGGAAGATCACTTGAGGTCAGGAGTTCAAGACCAGCCTGGCCTACATGGTGAAGCCCTGTCTCTACTAAAAATACAAAAACTAGCCAGATGTCGTGGCGCATGAGTTCAAGACAAGCCTGGCCTACATGGTGAAACCCTGTCTCTACTAAAAATACAAAAACTAGCCAGGTATGGTGGCACATGCCTGTAATCCCAGCTACTTAGGAGGCTGGGGCAGGAGAATTGCTTGAATCCAGGAGGCAGAGGTTGCAGTGAGCAGAGATTGCACCACTGCACTCCAGCCTGGGTGACAGAGCAAGACTCCATCTCAAAAAATAATAATAATAAAAATTGTAAATAAATAAATCATAAAATAAAATAAAGCTATAAGGGAATTAAATAGGAATTAAAAATAGTGCTGTGGCTTTATTGAGGTGGGGGAAAGGGTGACTCTGTAAATGAGCTAAATCTTCCTCTATCATGCAGAAAATCAGTTAATATCTAAAATTATTAACCGAGAGATAAGAGTATCATATGTTATTCGGAGACATGAAGATAAATCCCAAAAAAGTAAATAAAAAAAAAAAAACAGAAACAATTAAAAATTTAAAATTAGTTCCCCCTATTTAGCAGGATTGAGACCATGGAAAAGTAGGGCAGGAGACTGCTGCTTTTCATTATAAATCCTTCTTTACTCTACTTTTTTTTCCCCACCCCGCCCCAATCCTTCTTTATTATTTGAAAATGTTTAATCATTTATAGGTACCACTTTAAAGAAAAATACAAACTTTTGTTTTTTTTGAGATAGGGTCTTGCTCTGTCTCCAGACTGGAGTGCAGTAGCATGATCTTGGCTCACTGCAACCTCCGCCTCCTGGCTCAGGTGATCCTCCCACCTCAGCCTTCCAAGTATTTAGGACCACAGGCATGCACCACTATGCCTGGATCCTTTGTTATTATTATTATTTATAGATATGAAGTCTCCCTATGTTGCCCAGGCTGGTCTTAAACTCCTGAGCTCAAGCAATCCTTCTACCTAGGTGTCCCAAAATGTTGGGATTACAGGCATTAGCCACCACACCTGGCCTAAATCTTGCAATTTTGAAATTCTTAAGTAGTTACTATTATTTATTATCATTCATATCCTAAATTGTTTTCAACTTCAAATGAAGATTAAATTTCTTCATGATGTAGGAAGAGGTTGGAATGTTGAACAAATATGTGTGTGTGTGTGTGTGTGTGTGTGTGTGTGTGTGTGTGTTTGTGTATTGCCAGTTAAACATCTCAGGATGGACAAATATTTTTAGTTTTAAGGTGTACCAAATTACCAGCTTTCCTAGGGAGGCTTTAAGCCTTCGTCTCTCATGGTTTTAATTATACTGTTCTTTTCTTTCCCTTGGTCAAGTATTGGCAAGTTTGCACAATAATTAAAGTTTCTGAAAGCTTCTGGAAGCTTCCATCATAGCTACAGTTTCTCATAAAACTTGGTTTTCTTTCCTGGTTGGGGTGGGCAGGAAGATAAGAAGAATCAGGAGGCTTCCTTGACATTGAGGAGGAGGTTCAAGATCTCTGGAGGGTCCAGGGTCCAATAACAGAACCGAATCCAACAGCATCTGCAGTATGATGTCAGTCAAGTCATTAGCACTAGCTAAGATCCCAGGCTTCTACTAAGCCAATGATGGACAAGGACCAAGGGACACCATGGGGCCACTGTAGCTGCATCACACTTCTCCCAAATACCAGGCTGTCCTGTGCTATCACAGGCTGAATCTTGGCAGTTTCTGCTCCAGTTTATAGATAGGAATCCTGTCATTTGAGGTGACTGGTGATTACCCAGGGCCTGAACACTACTCCCTATTTCAGAAAAGCCTGTCAGCAAATAAAAAGAACAAACACAGACAGCCCCAACCCTGTTCCAGTTCCCAGTTACACTAATCTCGAAGGGCTATTTATATCTCTGCCCTTAGACTTTTGTTTTTTTATCTGGTTTTGCTTCCGTTGGGAGTGGGGGGCAGGGAGTATCTAAGTGTGTTTCTATTTCATAGCCTCTCCCTAGGAAGAGTTCCCAGATTTCATGAAGACAGCACAGCCTCGCTATAACTCCACAGCTATTGAGTGCGGAGACAGTGTCCCCACCACCAAAATGAAATCTTCCATCTGGCTACAGAAGGTGGTCAGGAATGTAATCTGGAGCTAGGGGCTCCACAATGAAGATATACCTGTAATTTATCCAAAGAAACAAATGTCGTAACTTCTTCTATAACACATACTCATGATCATAGAACCATATTCTCTGTTGTAACCTTCTGGGAATGTATTTCCATCAGACGTAAAGTGACTTAGGTTACTGGCATGAGCTTGAATTGCACAAGAATCTAACCACAGAAATAGTTTTCCACAGATGTTAATATCGCAGTACATATCTTCTCCTTTACCAAGTGAGTTGTAAATGATATGGTCTTAGACCAGGCACAGTGACTCATGCCTGTAATCCTGGCACTTTGTGAGGCTGAGGTGGAAAGATTGCTTGAGACCTAGAGGTCAAGGCGCCATGATGGCGCCACTGCACTCCAGCCTGTGTAACAGAGTGAGACCTTGTCTCAAAGAAGCAAAGGGAAAGGGGAAAAGGAAGAGGAGGGGAAAGGAAAGAAGAGGGGAAGGGGGAAGGGGAAGGGAAACAAAAAGGGAAAGGGGAAGGGGAAAGGAAGGGGAAGGGAAGGGGAAGGGAAAAAAGAAGAGGATAGGGAAGGGGAAGGGAAGGAAGGGAAGGGAAGGGAAGGGAAGGGTAGAGAAGAGAAAGGGAAAGGGAAGGGAGGAAGGAAAGAAAGAAAGAAGGAGAGAGAAAGTACAAAAGAGCGTATAAACATAGCAACCACTTGCCATATTTGGCATCAACCCTAGAGTAAGAGAAGGCAGATTTTGTGACAGTATAAAAGTGCTTTATGTATAGAATACAGATTAGCAAAGACAGAATGAGAGTATATCACAGTTTCTTTAGATTTAGACTTCTTTAGATTTAAATTTGGAATTTGGATTAGAATGGATAATAGTATGGAGTGAATTTATTCCCTTTTCAGTTTTAATGTCATTTTTATTTGTTTTGAGACAGTCTTACACCATCGCCCAGGCTGGAGTGCAGAGACACAATATCGGCTCACCGCAGCCTCCGCCTCCCGGGTTCAAGTGATTCTCCTGCCTCAGTCTCCCAAGTAGCTGGGATTACAGGGGCTCACCAATTATGCCTGGCTAATTTTTGTATTTTTAGTAAAGACAGGGTTTCACCGTATTGACCAGGCTGGTCTTCCACTCCTGACCTCAAGTGAACTGCCCGCCTCGGCCTTCCAAAGTCCTAGGATTACAGGCGTGAGCCACTGCGCCCAGGCTTCATATTGTTTTTTAAGGCATTCATGGGGAACTGGAGTCAGCAGGAAGAAATTTGTTCAAGTGCCAAATTCCTGTTTCATAAGGAAATTTTTTTAAAAATCTATATTATATTGTTTGCCGTTAGTTCTATCAGTTATCTATTTCTGGAAACAAACCACCCCAAAACTTAGTGGCTTAAACCACCAACCATTTATTTTGCTTACAAATCTGCAATCTGTGCAGAGCTTTGACAGGACAGTATATCTACTCCACATGGCATCAGCTGGGGTAGTCGTACAAGGAGGATCTATTAGCAAGATGGCTGGCAAGTTGGTGCAGACCCTTAGCTGGGAGCTTAGTTGGGAGGTGGTCTGGGTTTCAGTTTCTCTCCACATGGGCCACTCATGGGCTGCTGGGTTCCAAGAGTAAGCATTCCAAGAAACAGAAAGTAGAGGTGTTAGTTTCACAAGGCTGGCCCAGAAAAGGACACGGAGTCAGTTCTGTTTTCTATGGCCAAAAAGCCACAAAGTTCGGCTTCAAGGGGAGAGGCCATAGATCTCTCCTTTAGATGAAAGAAGTATTAGGCTGGGGGCAGTGGCTCACACCTGTAACGCTGGTACATTGGGAGGCTGACGAAGGCGGATCACTTGAGGCCAGGAGTTTGACACCAGTCTGGGCAACAAAACAAGACCCTCATCTCTAAATAAAAAAACAAAACAAGTCAGGTGCTGTGGCTCAGGCCTGTAACCCCAGCATTTTGGGAGGCCAAGGCAGGTGACAGCCGAGGATCACCTGAAGCCAAGAGTTTGAGACCAGACTGGCAACATGGTGAAACCCCTTCTCTACTAAAAAATGCAAAATTAGTCTGGTGTGATGGCGCACTCCTGTAATCCCAGCTACTCGGAAGGCTGAGGCATGAGAATCACTTGAACATAGGAGGCGGGGATTGCAGTGAGCAGAGATTATGCTGTAGTACTCCAGCCTGAGTGACATGGGGAGACTCCATCTAAAAAAATAATCAAAAGTAGCAAAAAATTGGGGGAAATGTTTCAAAACTGAAACACCAGCAATCTTTGATTTTTTTTTTTTTTTTGCATGGTTTGCTAAATCTACATGGCCTTTTCAGAAAATCTAGTGCAAAGAGGGAAAAAGCATATATAGACATATGTCATATATCCAACTTCAGAGCTGTAAAGTGGCTTCACAGTCAAAGTGAGGAGTTTGGGGGAAGAGAAACAAAGGGGTGCGTGAAGTATGCAAAGTGTAACAAATGTAAAAGAAAAGAGAAGGCAAGTCATAGACCGTATCACAGTTTAAATACTGGGATCAAAACCAAAAAATTAAGGAGTAAAAGTAATCATCTGGACCTATTTATTTTAGCTATTTTTCTCTCTTTCAGATTTGTGCTTATCAAATTTAGGCGCTTGGTACATGCAGAAATGTATATGATACAGATAGCATCTTAAATCTCTGGATGGAACAATGTGGACTTTTAATAAATAGTGTTGGAATGACTGGTTTGTTGCTGGAAAAAAGAGAAAATTAGATACAGAGCTCACACTATACACAAAAATAAACTCTAGATGGATAGGGAGCTCAATGTAAAACATGACGCCATGAAAGTACTAGAAGAAAACAGGAGGCTGGGCATGGTGGCTCACACTATAATCCCAGCAATTTGGGGGGCCAAGATGGGTGGATCACTTGAGGACAGGAGTTCCAGACCAGCCTGACCAACGTGGTGAAACCCTGTCTCTACTAAAAATACAAAATTAGCCAAGCATGGGGCACACACCTGTAATCCCAGCTACTTGGGAGGCTGAGAATTGCTTGAACCCAGGTAGCAGAGGTTGTGGTGAGCCAACATCATGCCACTGCGCTCCAGCCTGGGCAACAAGAGTGAAACTCCGTCTCAAAAAAAAAAGAAAACATGGTTGAATTCCTCTTAATCTCAGTGCAGAGGAAGGCTTTTAAACTATAACTCAAAAATCTAGAGGCAATAAAAGAAAATATTTGACTACATAATTTTTTTTTACATTAGACTACATATATTTTTTTTAATTACATGCCAAAAAAGTACCGTGAACAAAGTCAAAAGACAACAAACTGGGAGAAGATATTTGCAACATATTCCACATTCAAAGGGTTAATATCTCTAACGTATAAAGAACTCTTTAAAACTGAGGCCAGGTGTGGTGGCTCAGGCCTGTAATTCCAGCACTTTGGGAGGCTGAGGCTGGAGGATCACTTGGGCCCAGAAGTTTGAGACCAGCATGGCCAACATTGCAAGACCCCATCTCAAAAAAATAAATTTTAAAAAATAAAACAGGTGTAGTTGCAATTGTAGTCTCAGCTACTTGGAAGACTGAAGCAGGAGGATCACTTGAGCCCAGGAGTTCAAGGCTGCAGTCACTGAGCTATCATCATGCCATTGCATCCCAGCATGAGCAACAGAGCAAGCTTCTGTCTCTAAAACAAAAGAAAATTGAGGAATAAGGACCAAACACTCCATAGAAAAATATAACAAAAATATGAACTGACAATTCTCACACACACACAAAATAAGATTTTAAAACAGCCCCCTTTGGGAAGCTATGGTGGTTAGATCACCTGAGGTTAGGAGTTCAAGACCAGCCTGACCAACATGGAGAAACCCCATCTCTACTAAAAATACAAAATCAGCAGAGCGTGGAGGCACAAGCCTGTAGTCCCAGCTACACCGGAGGCTGAAACAGGAGAATCACTGGAACCTGGGAGGCAGAAGTTGTGGTGAGCCAAGATCACACCATTGCACTCCAGCCTGGGCAACTAGAGGGAAACTGTCTAAAAAAAAAATTAAAAATTAAAATAAAATAAATAAAACAGCCCAAAACATGAAAAAACGTTCAAACTCAAAATTAAAGAAATACAGCTTAAAACACTAAAATACAATTTTTCACTGATCGAATTGGCAAAAATTAAAAAGCATGAAATACATGCAAGAGAATGTTGCTGGTGAGATGGGGAAGCAGATACTCTCATACATTTCTAGTGGGACTACAACTAGTATGACCTTTCTAGAAAAAAGCTTGGCATTACCTAACAAAACTATATATGCACTTACCTTTTGACCACAGTCCCACTTCTAGATCCTATTCTGAAGATAAACCTCCAACAATAAGAACACACACATGCATTCTGTTATTCCTTGCAGCACTGTTTATCATTGCAAACTATTAAAAACTAACTGTCCACACACAGGAGATGGTTGAATAAACTGTGATATTCCCACACAATGGAGTACTCTAGAGCTATTAACAAATAATGAAGATGGCTGAGTGTGGTGGCTCACGTCTGTAATCCCAGCACTTTGGGAGGCCCAGGCAGGCAGATCACAAGGTCAGTAGTTCGAGACTAGCCTGATTAAACTGGTGAAACCCTGACTCCAAAAAAAAAAAAAAAAATGAGGAAGATCTCTATTAGTTAATATGGAATATTTTCTGGGATTTAAGTTTATAAAAGCAAAGTGCAAAAAAAATAGCCATAGTGTGTTATCTTTCACATAAGAAATATGCATGTATCTGCTCATTTGTACAAAAGAAGTAGGAGAATAAACCAAAAACTGAAGAAATTGATGACCTATAGGGGATGAGTAGGAAAGGAGTGGAAAGAAGGGGGGAATAGGAGTAGAGCAGCAGAGATGAGGAGGGTATAACTGACTTAACCACACTAAAAGAGGTAAGAAAGAAAAGAACTACCCTAAGGAACTTTGGAAAACAGCGTTTATTTTATTTTATTATTATTTATTATTATTATTATTTGAGAAAGAGTCTCATTCTGTAGCTCTGGCTGGAGTGCAGTGGTGCTATCTCGGCTCACTGCAACCTCCATCTCCTGGGTTCAAGCAATTCTCCTGCCTCAGCCTCTGAGTAAAGAAGCTGGGAATTCAGGCACACACCCCTATGCCCGGCTAATTTTTGTATTTTTAGTAGAGATGAGGTTTCACCATGTTGGCCAGGCTGGTCTCAAATTCCTGACCTCAAGTGATCTGCCCACCTCAGCCTCCCAAAGTGCTGGGATTATAGTTGTGAGCCACTGAGCTAGGCCTGGAAAACAGTATTTTCACTGGATATTGTGAAGCTAAAGATGAAAGGAACTGTACACAAACACTGTAATCGAATTAGTAAATTTGTTTCTCATAGAGGTATGTGTTAGAAATTCTGAAACCATTTTAAGATTAGATAAATTATGATGATAGATGGATAGATAGGATAGAGATGTATGTATGCATATGCATCCATGTATACATATTCACATATATATGTAACTATACATACATACAGTACTAGCTGTACTGAAGTGGCCTAAAAGCAATGATAACCCAACAGCAATGAGCCCAGCTAGCAACCAGATCTTTCTTTTTTTTTTTTTTTGAGACAGAGTTTCGCTCTTGTTACCCAGGCTGGAGTGCAATGGTGCGATCTCGGCTCACCGCAATCTTCGCCTCCTGGGTTCAGGCAATTCTCCTGCCTCAGCCTCCTGAGCAGCTGGGATTACAGGCATGCGCCACCATGCCCAGCTATTTTTTTGTATCTTTAGTAGAGACAGGGTTTCACCATGTTGACCAGGATGGTCTTGATCTCTTGACCTCGTGATCCACCTGCCTCAGCCTCCCAAAGTGCTGGGATTACAGGCTTGAGCCACTGCGCCCGGCCACAACCAGATCTTTCTAAACACCATTCTCCAATGAAAGGAACCAAGGCTCCTTGAGGAAGAGGTTAATTCCAGGGCTGGGGGAGGGAAAATACAAGATGAACCTGGAATATCTTGTGATGCTGGAGTGTAAGAAAGTGCTCATAAAGGATGAGGGCCTGCGAAAAGGACACAGGAACCAAGCCAAAGGAGCTCTCAATGGCCAAAGTGGGAACATTGAGCAACAAAATAAGTAAAGAAAGTATTAGATTACAATCCATAGAATAAAATAAGTAAATAAACTAATGGATAAATAAATGGGAAAAAAAAAAAGAAAGAACTTTTCCTTAGAGAATTTTAATGAATGAATGAACAAAAAATGAGGAAACAGAAAATTACTTTTGCTAGCAAAATCTACTAGGGAAACTAAAATTAGTAAGTGAAAGTGACAGGAGAAACAAGATATTTGCATAGTCTCAAGTAGCTCATCCAAGATGTTTGTTGATTACAAAGGGAAAAATAGTAACTTTATAGTGGAGTCAGGCAAACACCACCTTAGCCAGTAATCAAGGTTAACACCACCAGTAATAAGACATATTGACATCATATATAATCTGATATAATTACTGAGAAAATGGCAGAGAAACCCAATTAGGTTTCTAACCCAAGAGGTAGGCCTTGTTTTCCCTTTTTTTTGAGACAGAGTTTCGCTCTTGTTACCCAGGCTGGAGTGCAATGGCACGACCTCGGCTCACTGCAACCTCCGCCTCCTGGGTTCAGGCAATTCTCCTGCCTCAGTCTCCTGAGTAGCTGCGATTGCAGGCACGCGCCACCATGCCCAGCTAATTTTTTTGTGTTTTTAGTAGGGACGGGGTTTCACCATGTTGACCAGGATGGTCTCCATCTCTTGACCTCGTGATCCACCCGCCTCGGCCTCCCAAAGTGCTGGGATTACAGTCGTGAGCCACCACGCCCGGCCCTATTTTCCCATTTTTAGAGGTGAGAAAACGAGCTCAGATCCTTGAGTTGACTTTCAGAGGCCACATAGCTAACAAGTTACTCACCTAGGATTTTAGCTCATGTCAGCTCAGCTCCAAACTATGGCTGTTTTTACAATGTTGCATCCAATTTCTTTGTACCTTTTTTATTATCTTATTATTGGTGGTATTACTATTTCTTTTGAAATTTTTGTTCATAGTTTTTGAATTTCTGATTCCATAGTTTAAACTGTCAAAAGACAAAATTATAAAAAATTTAGTTTAGAGCCAGGCGTGGTGACTCAAGCCTGTAATCCCAGCACTTTAGGAAGCCAAGGCAAGCAGATCAGGAGATCAGGAGTTCAAGACCAGCCTGACAAATATGGTGAAACCCCGTCTCTACTAAAAACATAAAAAAATTTAGCTGAGTGTGGTGGCGCATGCCTGTAATCCCAGCTACTCAAGAGGCTAAGGCAGAAGAAATCACTTGAACCCAGGAGGTGGAGGCTGCAGTGTCCCAGGATCACCCCACTGCACTCCAACCTCGGTGACAGAGCAAGACTCCGTCTCAAAAAAAAAAAAAAAAAAAAAGTTTAGAAGATGTAATTGGCTTTTATTTGCAATTCTAGATTCAAGCAACAATCATTCTATGAAATAGAATGAGTGTTCTGGTGAGCTGAGCAGAGAAGTTTGACTTTATAAACAGAAAAGGGCTGAAGAAAGCAGAGACAGAGAAAAGGTAGATTGGTTGTTTCAAAATTACTTTCCTTGTAGGACTACAACAGAGAGGACTTCCTTATTACACTGACTCAGCTTGAATGAAATCTCCTGGTTTTTGAAAAACTGGCCCATTTCAATGTTCAGTTTGATTATATGTCACTTAGCACAAGTGACTCCATTCTGGTTTGGTCTCATCTTCTGGGGCCTAGAGAAGGAAGCTAGTCCAAAACACTGGCCTCTCATAAATTTTGTTTAGTAAAACTTTTCAGAAATGAAAGTGAGCTGGCACAGTGGGAGGCCCGGGCAGAAGGACTGCTTGAGGTCAGAGTAAGACAAGCCTGGGCAACACAGTGAGACCCTGTCTCTAAAAAAAAAAAAAAAGAAAAAGAAAGAAGAACGAAAGAAAGAGAGAGAGAGGAGAGAGAGAGAGAGAGAGAGAGAGAGAAGAAAGAAAGAAAGAAAGAAAGAAAGAAGAAAGAAGAAAGAAGAAAGAAAGAAGGAAGGAAAAAATTTTAAAAATTAGCCAAGCATGGTGGTAAGTGCTGGTAGGCCTGCAGTCAGAAGGCTTCCTGCTACTCAGAAGTCTGAGGCAACAAGATTGCCTGAGCCCAAGAATTTGAGGTTACAGTGAGCGATGTTGCATCATCGCACTCCAGCCTGAGTGACAGAGCAAGACCCTGTCTGTAAAAAAAAAAAAAAATTAAGAAATGAGAGTGGCCAACTCTCCTACCATTCACTCTGAAGTCAGTTCTGGGGGATGGGAAATGTTTCCCACTAGAACAAGGCCGTTGTGTGAGGTTGTAGAGTGAGGATGTGTGGCATTATGGCAGACTCTAAGTGCTTAGAATCCCTTTTCAGTCCCAATTCCTAGTTGCCATCTACTAGCCACTTAATATTTCTATGCCTCAGGTTCCTTGTCAAATGAGGGTAATAATTGCACCCACCCCACAGAATTGTAGGGAAAATTTAAAAAAAAATACATACAAAACATTTAAAACAGTGCCTAACACATAATCAATGTTAGGGAAAACAAAGAAACAAATCCAAAAAAGGAGAGAGAAAAAGAGAAATGTCTGATCAGATATGGAATTCCAAATAGCTTATTTTTCTTCCAAATACTAAACTACACAATAAAAAATGGCAACATGGCCAGGCGTGGTGACTCACACCTATAAACCCAGCACTTTGAGAAGCCAAGGCGGGAGGATCACTTGAGCCCAGGAGTTTGAGACCAGCCTGTGCATCATAGTGAGACCTCATCTCATCTTTAAAAAATAAATAGGCCGGGTGCGGTGGCTCAAGCCTGTAATCCCAGCACTTTGGGAAGCCGAGGCGGGTAGATCACGAGGTCAAGAGATCGAGACCATCCTGGTCAACATGGTGAAACCCCGTCTCTACTAAAAATACAAAAAATTAGCTGGGCATGGTGGTGCATGCCTGTAGTCCCAGCTACTAGGAGGCTGAGGCAGGAGAATTGCCTGAACCCAGGAGGTGGAGGTTGCGGTGAGCCAAGATTGCGCCATTGCACTCCAGCCTGGGTAACAAGAGCAAAATTCCGTCTCAAGAAATAAATAAATGAAATAAAATAAATAAATAAAATTTAAATTTAAAAATAAAAAAGAGGGCAACAAATATATACTAAATATTTATTGCATTAAACGGGGAAAGTACATTTTAAAAATCAGTAAGCTCTGCCAAACAGGTAAAACCAATCAAACTATATAATGAATCAAACCCTTTCCCCACTAAAAAGCCATATGAGTGTACCTAACACAATATAGATAAAGGAACACACCTTATTTGGCAAGAGATACATTCATTCTCAAGATAAAAGAAACATACCTTGAAAACTACTTCTGCTGGATTGCGCTGGCCAATAAGAGCTTCTGAAACTGCTCTTTGTACTATGCACTGCAATAGAAACACAGTTACCTCTCCCCTTTCATGCAGCTTTCATTTGTAGTGAGATTCTCTCCCAGGCCACAAGACACTTCCTGCTTGGAACCTGTTTACTAATTGTAAGTATTTTACAATTAAGAATTTCTTTTAAAAACTTAGCACTGAAAAAAAATGCTTTCTTTAAAAGTTATTTGATTTTGTTTTTTCTTAATGTTATATTTTGAGTTTTAGCTAAAATACTAATGTTTTCTTATCTAATTCCTTTAAATTTATGCATTTAGTCAAATTCAACAATTTCATGCTAAGCATTTTGCCAGATGCCAGACTTTTCTAAGTAGTGTAAGATACCAGCCGTGAATCCTCATCAACTGCCGCTTTCTGCAGCAAACACGTATTATGCATTGTATTTAGTAACGTGATCATTAATTTCTCTCTTTATTTCAATATGTATGTGTGTTGACTTACCATAGTCTAATTCTTTCTGCTTTACACATATTCTATTTCATCCATTCAAAATATTTAGAGACAAGATATGGAATTTTGTAGATTTAACTAAAGAATTATAAGAATCCTTGAATTCTCACTATGAAAGTAAGAAATTGCTTCAAAATTAAATTCTGCTGCTTCATTTATATGTATAAAGAGAGATGGAGAGATTATGAAATGGAAATGCTTCACTCAAAGCAAAAAGTGAAATTTAACATCAATAAACAGTAGAAAGAAAAGAAAAATCTCAATAATATATCTAGCATCTAATCAATATTAGTAATATGTATTAATATACTGTAATTAATATCATATTATATTAATATTCGTGTATTTTGATAAGCTAGTGGGCTGTCCTCAGGAGTGAGGTGCTCATGGGAAGGAGAGACAAATACAAGATTGACTCTTAACTCAGACTAATAGATAAAATTAAGATGTTTAAAATATCAGCCAAATAAAGCAAGATTTACATTGAGATCATTCCACAGAAAGAACTTCCTAAAGAAAGGTATTCTAGCCTCATTCTCCAAAGCTCGCCCACCAAGATTCCCATTTCCTCCTCCACCACTTTTCCTGCATTTTCCAAGGTGGCTCCTGACAGCTTTTTTATCTGCTCCAGTGGGGTTACAGATGGCACGAAACAAAACAGCTGTTTGGTCACACAGCAATGGGCAGAAATGCTGGCCATGGATAGGAAACCTCAGGCATCTCCTTAGCCCTCACTAAATCCAGCACAAGACTTTTACACACCCTGGCACACAATAAAATATTTGCCGAGTTAAATTGGATCTGTAGTTATTAGCATCAGAAGAGAAATAAGGCCACTGGTCGTGGATTACAGTGTGCCCTGCAAGGCTACTGGCAAAATAGAATCTCTTGAAGTGCCGGTGATACTGCACCGACCTCGCAGCTGGAGGGAATGGAGCTAGTTTGGAATGTACTCCTGGGTGTGGCAGGAATCAGAGACTAATGGCTGGAACGGGAGGATTTTATTTAGGTGCAACGGCTCAGCGGATTCGCATCTAAAAGCCTGAGCCTTGAACAAAACCAGGGCTTGACTTTTATACTAGCATCTGTGGCGAAACGCAGTGGCCCGAAAGCGGGTTATAGAAGCAGAAGAAAGGCAGTTTATTAAACAGCGACAGGCTTATAACTCAGGCTTTCTTGTGACTTGCTATGCGGCCTAGGTGGCTGTTAGCTAGGCTTCCTTAGGATGCCTTTATAATCCTATCTCGTGTCCTTCGCTGTGGCGCCTAAATGGCTGCGATGCAACCTTGCTCAAACATGTCTTTTGACCTCTGCGGTGCTTCTCAGATAAAAGACAGAAACTCAGTCATTAGCTACAGGAAACAGGAATCTATAAACTCATATTGCAGAGCTCCCACGGAGGACGGTGGGAATTCAAAGGGAAGTTGCTCATATACCAAAGGAAAGGAAAAAATTTTTTCTTCCCCCGTCTCCTGCTTCACTAGGAATGCGGGAGGCCAAGGTATACTGCTTTTCAAATTCTCACAGAGGCGGCTACGTGCTCACCAAGCTGTGTCTATGAGAAGGGCCACCTTTTTCTAGTTTATAGGCAAAACCATGGCATAAGGGCAGCAGCCCTGCAAATGCGTCTTACAGATTCTTAGACCCTAGCTCATTCCATTTAAATCACCATCTCTGAATAATGTCGAATTCTACATTGCACAGATTCCTCAACCCTAGCTCATTCTATCTCACAATCTCTGAGCAGTGTCTAGCATTCTACATGGTAAACAAGCTGTCCAAGTGGTTTTTACTAAGTAAGCTTTGAGGACCACTGAACTAAGGAGACAAGCTGGTACCTAAGGTCCTAGAAAATCTAGATTTTCAAGAAGTTTTCTCTCCACTTATTGTTGACCTTTTACTTTGAATGGCTAAGGCTAAAGACTTAATAGCTGAAGCAAAGAGAATTGCGGTTGTTTGGAACAAGCAGTTTTGAATTTGTTCCTGTTTTATATTTTGTCGCAACTTAAAAGATATCTCGAATTTTTAAATGATCACAGAGGCACATACAAATGAGTTTGTGTTTGCTTTCTCCTCTCAGTTTTATAACTATCAAGAAGGTATATCTTTGAATAAGGTATCTCACAGGATAAGTTATTTAGACTCTTTTTAGAATAACCTAGAAGTGATAGATGGAGGTCCTGGATAACAGTTCCCTTTAGGACTATTCTCTGCAGCGATGAGCTGAGTAGCCTTCTCCACCAATACAGGTAATCTGCACTAGAGAGGAACTTATGATAGCATCAGAAACCTCCTGGGGCTCCCCCATTGTGCTCCAGTTCCTAGTGCTAATATTCACAGAAGCACCTGGGTCCCTGCAATTTCCCACATTCAAAAAAAGAAGTCAAAAGTACGAAAGCAGTGAAGGAAACAGAAACATACAATGTTGACTGTTGGGCTAAGGACTGTTTAGGCTACTACATGGAGGAAGTAAATGTTCACACAAACTAACTGGCAGTTAGCATATGGATATTTGAGATACAGCTGCCTACTACAGAATATAAAGATGGCCACTGAGCGGACTTCAAAGGCACTCAAAAAATGTTCAGGACTCAAGCTGCTGTGAAGTCTAACTTTAGCCAATTTGAATACACAAGCACATATGTAATACACGAAACAAAGACATTCAGGTAAAGGAAAAACAATTAGATAATTGCAGGGAAGTTTTTATTCTGAAATCTTCAGATTGCTGTTATTATATTAAAAATCACAATATAGCCTTCTTTTTAAAAAAAGTGGCTAAATCAACATGTTTTTCCTCTGAAAGAGTTGTAGAATCATCTCTATTTATTGAATACCAGTTTCGTGCCAAGCATTGGCTAGGGGCCAAGAGAGAGGAAAAAAAATAAAAACAGCTGTAGTATCATTTGAATGACATGCCCCTCCCTTTTTTTTCTGAGATAGAGTCTCTCTTTGTCACCCAGGATCTGCCCGCTTCAGCCTTCCAAAGTGCTAGGATTACAGGCGTGAGCCATCGTGCCTGGCCTGGACTCCTTAAAAAAAATTTTTTTTCTAGTCACTGGATTTGCTTTTTGTTTCTGAAAAGGATATTTCTTGTTTTGATTATTTTAAAAAAATGATCATACAAAAAAAAATTCTCAGCCATGTAATAGTGGCTTACACCTGTAATTCCAGTGCTTTGGGAGACTAAGTTAGGAGGATGTTTTTCCTCTGAAAAGGAAGGAGCTCAAGGTCAGCTTGGGCAACATAGTGAGACCCCCATCTCTACAGAAAAGGAAAACAAATTAGCCAGGCATGGTGGTGTGCGTCTGTAATGCCAGCTACTCAGGAGGCTGAGGTGGGGGGGGGATCACCTGAGCCCAGGAGTTCCAGGCTGCAGTGAATTATGATCCTGCCATTGCACTACTGCCTGGGCAAGAGAGAGAGAGACCTTAACACAAAACAACAGTAACAAAAAGTCTATCAGCCAATCACTCAGGAATAACCACCTGACATTACTGACAATTAGCCTTTCATATTTTTTCTTGTATTTGATTATTAAGTTGAAATGCAGATAAAATTTAAATACATATTATCTAGCATTTCCTGTAATGCTTCTTCCTCTAAGATCCCAAATGAGGGAAGCCATCACCCAAAAATATGGTTTTGATCATGTTAATACTGGAGTTGGGATTTAGGAAGATCCTGGGCCCCACCTGTGGAGGTCTAAAGAGTCAGGTGAAATATTGACCTTGTTTGCGTTTCCAGGGCTGGGCTCTCGCCGGTGTTTGCTGTGCACCATCTGGAGCCTGCACCACCCAAGGCCTCAGCCAGGCTGGAAGCGAGAGCTAGGTGGCGGGGGCGCTAGTGAGCATCCCTGTTACCAGGTCCCAAGCTAAGGTTTTGAGACACCTCAGCGAACATAGCCCACAAAATTCCCTGGGTGGGGATTTGGGACTTACTTTTCCCAAAGCCAAGCTAATCATTGTGACAGGGGTCATGACGAAAACGGAATCATTGCAACGTCCTTACCTCCTGTTTCATGAGGTTGGCCGCACGAGTGTGTCTAGAGAGCTGTGGTTGCTTCCTCTTACACTGAAAAGTGGGTATGTACAGCAGGACTAGAATCCAGGGCCCATCTAAGAAGCATTCAAATCAGCGCGGGGAGGGGGGCTGGTAGTTTCTGGTATTATTTTCCGATCTGAGTGTTGCTCAGCGCATACCAACTGATGAAAACTTTTTACAATTTAGAAACGCCAGGTGAGCCTGGGCGCCTGGGGCCACAGAGCGGCACCCGCCCCCACAGCGGCTCTTGGAGCCTGCGGCCAGGGCTGAGCTCCGAGACCGCGCGCCCGCTTTCCGGTTCACGCCAAGTCCCCAGCGGCGCGCAACCCAGGCGAGCGGTCCCCGGAGGGCAGCCGCCCGCAGGCGCCGCTCCCTGATTGCGCCAGCAACAACAGGCGGTCTCTTTGGGATGGATTCTGTGCGGGCTGCCCTAGGATTTCACCGGCAGGCAGGTCTGATCCCAGCAAAGGAGACCCAGGGGTCCCAGAGCGGCGCTTGCCGGAGGCAGGATGCGGAATGCGGGGTGCGGAGTGCGGGGTGTGGGATGCGGGGTGCGGAGTGCGGGGTGTGGGATGCGGGGTGCGGAGTGTGGTCTAGGAGCCCTGCGCTCAGCTGCCGCTCAGAGTCCCCTTCCGGGTGCAGAGCGAGCGGAGAAAGTAAGGAGCCCACCCATCCACTCCCCGCCTCCTGAAGCTCCAGCTTCAGACCTGTCCCTGCAACTTGGGAGGAGCCAGGCGGGCTCTCCGCCTCCTCGATTCTCCTCCCTGGAAGAGGCCCAAAGGCAGAGACCGCCACGTTCGCCTCGTTCCGTCACTCGACGGCTCTGCCCCCTGCGGGGACTCCTCTGCTGCCACCTACACACCCGCTGCTCGTGCGCGCCCGGAATGATCCGCTCAGCCAGCCCCTCTGGTTTTTTGTTCACTTATTGAAACTTCTTTGGCAGAAAATCTTGTTTGCTGTGGGATCCACAATGGTCCGCCTCCCTCTTTTATTGTAAAAGAGCAATAAACGGCTATTATGGTACATTTTTAAAAAACCAAATCAAGCAGAAGCCAAACCTCTGTAATGTATATTGAAGGGCACATCTAATACATTTAAAATAAACTCCAGCTGTTCAGAATACAGTTTATAGTATTTTTATTTATTTATTTATTTTTTTTACTCTGCTTCCTCTTGAAGGGTATCTTTTTAAATTGCATTTTAGGTTTTGGGGTACATGTGAAGAACATGCCAGATTGTTGCATAGGTACACACAGGGCAGTGTGATGTGCTGCCTTCCTCCCTATCACCTATATCTGGAATTTCTCCCCATGCCATCTCTCCCCAACTCCCCCCACCGTTGTCCCTCCCCTATTTCCCCCCCTACAGACCCCGGTGTGTGATGCTCCCCTCCCAGTGTCCATGGGGCATTTTTATTTAAGGAGAAATTACTTAGAATGAGCCTGTTAAGGTGGGTAGGTCAGAAACCCCATTTTACAGATTAAGTGGACTTTTAAATGACTAGTCTAATATCACAGTTTCAGAAACTAAGATTTGGGCAAAGATGTTCTCACTCCGAATCTAATTCATGTTCCATGACGTAGAGAAATGAGGAGTAATCTTACCAAGTGTACTTCCTAACAAATTGTCCCTACCAGGCAGCAAGTTCTATCAGGCCGGTGCTGACACAGGATTGCAGGCTCCCAGTAAATACGAAGTGAAGGACCAGTCAGGAAGCGGGAAGGCTGGAAAGGATTGCTCATAGGAAATCCATCTAAAGCAAAAAGGAGCAGAATAAATTAGGAGCAAGAAGGGGGTATATACACAAAAGTTTAGGATGATGCCTGTTAAAACGCGCTCTCTGAATGAAGAGATCCCTAAACGGGCTTTGTGTGAGCAACACGGCTGTTAATTCACTCGGGTACCGGCGAACTGAGGCAGAAAAGGGTGTCCGTGGAGGGCGGAGGGATAAGAGTTGGTTTTATAGGCTTGGGGTAAACAGTGAAAAGTTAGAGGAGTTGGAGTTTGCGGGGTTTTTTGTTTTGTTTTGTTTTGTTTTTTTCAAGCTGGGAGGGGGTCGTAGGTTTGCAAGCTGGGAGGGGGTCGTAGGGTTTGTTGTCCCGAGGTTGGCCAAGATCAGTTACAAAGTCCAATGGGCTGTCAATTGAGGCCGGAATAAGAAACAACAGAAAATGTCTCCAAGCTAAGTAGGCGCCCAGGGGTTGATCATTTCTGCCTCTTTTCATAATCTTCCAGTTATTTCAGGTTTTCGGAAAGCCCCCCTGGAAAGCCCTCCAGAGGTGTGTGTACGGTTCATGGGAGTCGCCATGCCGTCCACGGCAAGGTCAGACCTTACAATGCCATTTCAGAGAATGCTATTTTCCATAATTCACTACTTTCGTCCACTATCACAGGTTGCTCATTTGTTTCCCTGCCTTGTGTGGATACCAGGTACTGTCTAAAAACAGTACCTGAGCGACCCTGTTCCGCTCCCTTATCCCATGAGAAGCAACTGTTCACCTTTCCAGTTCAGTGAATTCTGTAGTTTTTGGTTTTTGGTTTGTTTGTTCGCTTTTGGGTTTTGTTTTGGTTTTGTTGAGACTCCGTCTCACTCTGTCGCCCAGGCTGGAGAGCAATGGCACGATCTCGGCTCACTGAAACCTCTGCCTCCCGGTTCAAGTGATTCTCCTGCCTCAGCCTCCCAAATAGCTGGAATTACAGGCACGCGCCACCACGCCCGGCTAATTTTTTCCATTTTTAGTAGAGACGGGTTTCTCCATGTTGGCCAGGCTGGTCTCGAATACCTGACCTCAAATGATCCTTCCGCCCCGCCCCCGCCTCCCAAAGTGATGGGTTTACAGACGTGAGCCACCACGACCAACCAGCCGGGTTTGGCGAATTCCTTCCTCCCACCCCCAGGGCCTTTATCTTGTGAGGGGCGGAGATAGAAATACTGTTCTTCGAACAGAGCAACTTCCTCTACACTGCCTCAGCTTAGTGCCTTACTAAAGAAGGCCTTTCAAGAGAAACCTCGAGACTTCTAACCCTGCTCTTTCCCTTTTCAGCCCACAGCTTTTAAGGCCCTGCACTGAAAATGCAAGCTCAGGCGCCCATGGTCGTGGTAACCCAACCTGGACTTGGTCCCGCACCCCAGAACTCCAACTGGCAGACAGGCATGTGTGACTGCTTCAGCGACTGCGGAGTCTGTAAGTGTGGGGGGAAAGAACCCCCTTAACTGATATGGAGGTGAATTACCAGGGACTAAATCCTTCCCCCATTCCTCCCTTATTGTGTAGAAAAAGTTTCTAACTTATTACAGGTACTCTGCATGTCAGGCAATCGTATGTTTAGCAAAAACAAAGCCTCTGTACAGATTATAAGTTAGTTTTTCTCCAGCCCTTCAAAGAACAGTTCATTCCTAAAATAAGTTCTAAGTTAAGATAATAGCAAAAGAGCTGATTGATTCTAACAACGAACTGGCCTGGCCTGATTATGCATAGACCTTACATTAATTTACAAATTCCAAGCTGAACTTCATTTGTTTTAGAAAGACTGTTCTTGTAACATATAAAGTAACTTCGTTCTTTTACAGTTACATTATGCCCAGTACCCAGGGGATAGTTTTCATCTATGGTTTCCATATGCATTCAGAGAAGAACAATTTTAATTTATCTATTTAGGGGTCTTTTCTTTTGTTTGTTTGTTTGTTTGTTTGTTTGTTTGTTTGAGACAGAGTCTTGCTTTTGTCGCCCAGGCTGGAGTGCAGTGGCATGATCTCAGCTCACTGCAACCTCTGCCACCCGGGTTCAAGTGATTCTCCTGCCTTAGCCTCCTGAGTAGCTGGGACTACAGGCACGTGCTACCACACCCGACCAACTTTTTGTGTTTTTAGTAGAGATGGGGTTTCACCGTGTTAGCCAGCATGGTCTCGATCTCCTGACCACATGATTGCCCACCTCAGCCTCCCAAAGTGCTGGGATTACAGGTGTGAGCCAACGCGCCCAGCTATATTTAGTTTTATTTACACACCTGAGAATAAAGAATTCTGGAGGCAATTGGCTTGTCGTGGGGAAAAAAAATCTCTGTTTTCTTTTTATAAGCTCTTAAAGATCTCTCTAAATGAACTTGGAGGAAAGGAAGTTTGGGGTGAGGTGGGCGTTGCTGAGAGGAGCAAGGTGCTTAGTTCTCAATAATGACAAACTCACCTGCAGAAAACTTGCTCTGAAGTCTGTTTGCTTGTCTTGGTCCACATAGCACTCTAAGACAAGAAAAGAAAATATGTTATCTTTTAACTTGACAGTTGCAATTGACTTTGAATGAGAATTGAATTGAACCTTGTCTTTGTTTTTTGTTCTTTGAGACAGTCTCACTTTGTCACCCAGGCTGGAGTGCAGCAGTACGATCTCGGCTCACTGCAACCTCTGCCTCCCAGGCTCAAACAATTTTCCTACCTTGGCCTCTGAGTAGCTGGGATTACAGTCATGCACCACCACACCCAGCTAATTTTTGTATGTTTCGTAGAGACGGGACTTCACCATGTTGGCCAGGCTGGTCTCAAACTCTTGCCGTCAAGTGATCTGCCTGCCTTGGCCTCCTAGAATTACAGTTAAGCCACCATGCCTGGCCTGAAATTGAACTTTGAATATGTTAAGAATTATACTGAGTAGCATAGCAAGGGAAAATTACCTTGGGAATGAAACAATTGAGTTTGTTTATTCACTGTCATTGTCTGGAGTGATGACTTAAGCTTCTCAGGACACTAGTTCAATATCTGGCAAATCAAAGTGAGAATTAGACCACATTGGTGAAACACTCTAAAGATAAACATTTTAACCCTCTCACCCCTAGTATTATTACCCAATTAAATGAAGACACAAGTTCTAATCAAAGCTTAATTGCTTAATAGCAGATTTTCTTGAATGTAGATCTGATCTAATTATTCTCCCCTCTTAAAATGTTTCAGTGGTTCCTCATAACTCTCATGACACACTCTTAAAACTCACAGTTTTTCATCATCTGGTCCCCAACCTGCCTCAACCCACAGCTAAATCCTCACCCCATCCCAGGGCCCCAGCCATATTGAATAAACACTAGCCTTTGCCAGGTTGTGCCAGATTATCTCAGAGGCTCTTTTCCTTTTTGTCCACCTTTAAAACATCTAATTATCCTTCAACAGTCGGCTCAAGCAGCATTTCCTACTCAGGGCCTTTGTAGGACCCATTTTTCTGGGTGACCTGTTGGCACCTTAAGCAGATTTCTGTTGGAGAACTTTCCCTATGATCTGCCTTCACTACAAGACTTGAGCCAGGGGCACTGTCAGAACTGAGGATAATGTCTGGAAAATGACTAAGTTTTACTGCATCAATGAACAAATGAATGAAGACCGAATTATGAAAAGAATGATATACTTTACAAAGAGGTGGTCATTCCTGAAATGATTTGGAGGTGAAGGGAGACACTAATGCAAAGCTGAACACTGAAGATGGATTTTGCAGCAGGCTGTGTGGTCAAGGTCCCATGACCTGAACTGCCATTTGCGAAAGCAAACTAAACTTTCAGCTGTGGTGGGGGCAGAGTGGAGTAATGTGTACCCTTGGTTTCATGTGTCTAGGTCTCTGTGGCACATTTTGTTTCTGGTGCCTTGGGTGTCAAGTTGCATCTGACATGAATGAATGCTGTCTGTGTGGAACAAGCGTCGCAATGAGGACTCTCTACAGGACCCGATATGGCATCCCTGTGAGTCTCTTACGACACCGTCTCACTCAAATATGCAACCACATTCACAATAATTATTATAAACATGGAGATCATTTGATGTATACATCTTCTGAAATTGAGAAGAGTTCTCTAGCATGTGCAATCTTGCATTCAGTCGTAGCAACAGATCTGGTTATGTGACCTCCTTCTAGGTTCCTGCTGAAAACTTGAAATAATAAAACTCATTTTCAGTGCATGTCATACAATGGAAGAGGACTGTTTAGGATCTACTGTGCCCCACATGCATTACACATATTATCTCATTTAATCCTCACATCATCTCTGTAAAGCGGGTAGATCCACACCATTTTGCCGAAGAGAACTTTGAAGTTTTCAGAGGTGGAGTAATTCGCCCAAAGATACTCTCTAATAGTAGAAAAAGAGTCGATACTCAATTCTAACTGTCCATTCATGTACTTTCCATTACACCGAGTCCACTTTATGTAGGTAAGAGATTATATTACTTAGGGTTCTCCTAAGTGCATTAAAAACAGAACCAATAAGATGGGAGTGAATGTGTGTGTGCTTGTATGCATGTGTGTGTGTGCACGTGTGCATGTGTGTGTGTGTGTGTGTGCACATATATATACAGGCATGCCTCAGATATACAGGTTTAGTTCTAGACCACCACAATAATACAAATATTGCAATAAAGCAAGTCACATGAATTTTTTGGTTTCCCAGTGCACATAAAAGGTATGCTAATAATACACTGTAGTCTATCAGGTATGCAATAACATTATGTCTCAAAAAACAACATATGTACCTTAATTTTAAAATACTTTATGGCTAAAAAATACTAATAATAATCTATCTGAACCTTCCACAAGTCATGTTTTTCCCTGTAGAAGGCCTTGCCTCAATGTTGGTGGCTGCTGACTGCTCAGGGTGCAGGATACTGAGGTTGGGGTTGCTGTGGCAATTTCTTCAAATAAGGCAACAATGGGCTGGGCGCGGTGGCTCACACGTAATCCCAGCACTCTGGGAGGTCAAGAAGGGATGATCACTTAAAGTCAGGGTTTGACACCAGCCTGGCCAACATGATGAAACCCCATCTCTTCTAAAAATACAGAAATTAGCCAGGTGTGGTGGCAGGTGCCTATAATCCCAGCTATTCAGGAGACTGAGGCAGGAGAATTGCTTGAACCCGGGAGGCGGAGGCTGCAGTGAGCCGGGCTGCATTCCAGTCTGGGCGACAGAGCAAGACTCCATATCAAACAAAACAAAACAAAACAAAAACAAAGATCAAATAAGGCAACAATGAAGTCTGCCTCATTGACTGTTCCTTTCATGAAAGGAAAGATTTCTACGCTGTTTGATAGCATTTTACCTGCAATAGAACTTCTTTCCAATTTGGATTCTGTCTTCTCAAACTTGTTACTGCTTTATCAACTAAACTTATGGAATATTCTAAATCCTTTGTTGTTATTTCAACCATATTCATAGCATTTTCACCAGTAGATTCCATCTCAAGAAATCACTTCCTTTCTTTTTTTTCTTTTTCTTTTTCTTTTTTTTTTGAGACGAAGTTTTGCTCTGTCAGGCTGGAGAGCAGTGGTATGATCTCAGTTTACTGCAACCTCCACCTTCCAGATTCAGGCAATACTTCTGCCTCATCCTCCTGAGTAGCTGGGACTACAGGTGCGTGCCACCATGCCCAGCTAATTTTTGAATTTTTAGTAGAAACGGGGTTTCACCATGTTGGCCATGATGGTCTTCATCTCTTGACCTCATGATCCACCCACCTGGGCCTCCCAAAGTGCTGGAATTACAGGTGTAGCCACTGGGCTCGACCTCAAGAAACCACTTTCTTTGCTCATCCATAAGAAGCAGCTCCCATCTATTCAAGGTTTATCATGAGATTGCAGTAATTCAGTGACATCTTTAGGCTCCGTTTATTTTTATTTTTATTTTTTCTTTTAGGCTCCATTTCTAATTCTAGTTCTCTTGCTGTTTCTACCACATCTATGGTTACTTTCTATACTGAAATCTTGAACACCTCAAAGTCATCCATGAGGAATAGAATCAACTTCCGGACAGGAGTGGTGGCTCAGGCCTGTAATCCCAACACTTTGGGAGGCCAAGGTGGGTGGATCATAAGGTCAGGAGTTCGACACCAGCCTGACCCACATGGTGAAACCCTGTCTCTACTAAAAATACAAAAGAAAAAAAATTAGCTGGGCATGGTGGTGGGCACCTGTAATCCCAGCTACTCAGGAGACTGAGGCAGGAGAATCACTTGAACCAGGGAAGCAGAGGTTACAATTAGCCGAGATCACGCCATTATACGCCAACCTGGGCAACAGAGCAAGACTTCATCTCAAAAAGAAAAAAAAAGAATCAGCTTCTTCCAATCTCCTGTTAATATTGTTATTTTGACCTCCTCCCAAGAATCATGAATTTTTTTTGTTTTGTTTTGTTTTTTGAGACAGGGTCTCACTCAGTCTCCCAGGCTGGAGTGCCATCTTGGCTCGCTGCAGCCTCTCCTCCCACGTTCAAGCAATTCTCCCACCTCATCCGATGGAGTAGCTGGGCTGTAGATGTGCACCACCTCACCCAGCTAATTTTTTGTTTTTATTGTTTGGTAGAGATGCAATTTTACCATGTTGGCCAGGCTGGTCTTGAACTCCTGACCTCAAGTAATCCACCTGCCTTGGCTTCCCTAAGTGTTGGGATTATAGCTGTGAGCCACCATTGATGGCTGGGTATGATGAGTGTTCTTAATGACATCTAAAATTATTAATCATTTCCACAAGATTTTCAATTTACTTTGCCTAGATCCATCAGAGGTATCACTGTCTATGGCAGCTACAGCCTTCAAAAATGCTTTTTTTTAAATAATAAGACTTGAACATCAAAATTACTCCTTGATTGGCTGCAGAATAGATGTTCTTCTAGAAGGCATGAAAACAACATTAATCTCTTTGTATATCTTCATCAGGGTTCTTGGATGTCCGGGTACATTGTTAGTGCACAGTACTATTTTGAAAATAATCTTTCTTTCTGAGCATAGCCCTCAATAGTGGGCTTAATATTTGGTAAACAATGCTGTCAACACATGTGCCGTCATCAGGCTTTTTGGTTCCATTTATAGAGCACAGGCAGATTTAGCATAATTCTTTTTTTTTTTTTTTTTTCTCATAGGGTAGGGGAAAGAGAAGTGATTAATTAGCATAATTCTTAGCGGGGCTAAAATTTTGCAAAGAGTAAATGAGCACTGGCTTCAACTTAAAGTCACCAGTTGCATTATCCCCTAACAAGAGAGTCAGCCTGTCTTTGGCAGCTTTGAAGACAGGCATTAACTTCTCCTCTCTAACTATCAATTTCCTCGATGGCATCTTCCAATAAGGCTGTTTCATTTTCACTGAAAATCTTTTTGTGTGTGTGTGTAGCCACCTTCATCAATTATCTTAGCTAGACCTTCTGGATAACTTACTACACCTTCTCCATCAGGATTTGCTGCTTCACCTTGTGCTTTTATGTCATCTTTCCTCTTTTAACTTCAAACTTTTCTTCTGCAGCTTTCTTTTTTTTTTTTTTTTTTTTTTTTGAGACAGAGTCTTACCCTGTTGCCAGGCTGGAATGTGGTGGTACAATCTCAGCTCACTGCAACCTCCACCTCCTGGGTTCAAGCAATTCTCCTGCCTCAGCATCCCAAGTAGCTGGAATTACAGGCATGAGCCTCTACACCCAACTAATTTTTTTTTATTTTTAGTAGAGATGGGGTTGCACCATGTTGGCCAGGATGGTCTCTATCTCCTGACCTTGTGATCCGCCTGCCCCAGCCTCCCAAAGTGCTGGGATTACAGGCGTGAGCCACAGCACCCAGCCTCTTCTGGAGCTTCCTTCACAGAACTGAAGAGCGTTGGGGCCTTGCTGTGTGTTAGGCTTTGACTTTTGGGAATGTTGTGGCTGGTTTGATCTCCCATCCAGACTACTCAAACTTTCTCCAGATCAGCAATAAAGTTGTTTCGCTTTTTTATCATTTGTATGTTCACTGGAGTAGCATGTTTAATTTCCTTCAAGAACTTTTCCACTGCGTTTGCAACTTGGCTAACAGTTTGGCCAAGAGGCCTAGCTTTCATCTTCTCTCTGGTTTCAATAAGTTTGCCTCACTAAGCTTAATTACTTCTAGCTTTTGATTTAAAGTAGGAGATGTGTGACACTTCCTTTCATTTGAACATTTAGAAGCCATTGTAGGGTTATTGGATGGCCTAATTTCAGTATTGTTGTGTCTCAGGGAATAGAGAGGTCCAAGGAGAGGAAGAAAGATAGGAGAACAGAACAGCTGGTTAGTGGGGCAGTGACAATACACACAACATTTATCAATTACACTTGCTGTTGGTATTAGTCCATTCTCTCATCACTATAAAGAAATACCTTAGCCTGGGTAATTTATACAGAAAAGAGCTTTAATTGGCTCATGGTTCCACAGGCTGTACAGGAAGCATAGTGTCACCTGCTTCTAGGGAGGCCTCAGGAAGTTTACAATTATGGCAGAAAGCAAAGGGAGAGCCAGCACTTCACATGACAGGAGCAGGAGGAAGGGGGACAGAGGTGCTACACACTTTTTGGTTTTTTTCTGAGACAGAGTCCCACTTGTTGCTAGGCTAGAGTGCAGTGATGCAATCTCGGCTCAGTCCAACTCTGCCTCCCGTGTTCAAGTGATTCTTCTGCCTCAGCCTCCCAAGTAGCTGGGACTACAGGCACGCACCACCATGCCCATCTAATTTTTTTTTCTTTGGATTTTTAGTAGAGACGTGGTTTCACTATGTTTTCCAGGATGGTCTCAATCTCTTGACCTCGTGATCTACCTGGCTTGGCCTCCCAAAATGCTCGGATAACAGACATGAGCCACCATGCCCCGCCTGTGTTACACACTTTTAGACAATCGGATCTCACAAGAACTCACTATTGCAACACAGTACCAAGGGGAAAATCTGCCGCTATGATCATTCAACTCCCACCAGGCCCCACCT